AACTATCTTACAAATTAAGTGGAGCTCAATATGCAACGGAGTTGCATATTGACGAAACACCACATCAATTATTTAGTTCTCTCTCGGTTATGCTATCCAACAATATTAACTGTTGTTAAACATGGCAAGAGGTGAGGCATAATTAAACTAACAATACCATCTAAACAATTTAAATGGGGCCGGATATAAAAACAACAAATCCGGTAAATCCCCATATGCATTTAGCAATTTAAAGCAACACCAATTTTAAGCATTTTAATTGTTATTATCATGATGCGGATGACATATGCAAGTTTTATGCATTTTTTTATGAAAATGTTGACATAAGCATGTTAAGGAGCATTTGGTCACCATGGCGGAACGAAAGGGGTGCCACGGCAACGATAACGAAAATGGTGCCACGGCAACGATAACGAAAATGGTGCCACGGCAACGATAACGAAAATGGTGCCACGGCAACATTCCGATGATCCAATAACTCATTGAGATACCGGTGCAAAAGAGCAAGTGTGCGGATGTGCGAAACATGCAGAAGATGGTGGGGTGATCCCGTCTACCGGGTTCCCACGGGATAGTGGCATGGAAACGAGTGACAAACGGAGACGATGCAAAAACGGGCATCTCATACAACATGCATTCGGTCCACGGACATCGTCTCGGTGTTATACCTTCGAAGCGTGTGTTTCGGGCGGATCGAGTTCGTAGAGGGAAGTAGACGTTCACGGGTCGACGGTAGTGGTACATCTCGTAGACGTTCACGGGTCGTCGTGGAGGTAGACGTTCACGGGCGTCGTGGAAGTAGTGGTACACGTTCGTTTTTCGGAGAGATACTTGACGAATCCAACATCTTCGGGGCGACGGTAGTGGTTCACGGACGTCGTGGTACTTGTCGGTCCGGTCTTGGTGTAGATGTACAAGGCAAACGTAGTGGTACTAAGCGCCGGTCGTCGGAGGGACTTGCCAAAATCCACAGAGCCGGTGTGCTTGTTCAGGCGTCGGTCTTGCTGGAGGGGGGGTACTTGGTGAATCCGCATAGTCGCACACGGGTCATAGTGGTACTAGGCAAAATCCACGGGGGTGGTCTTGGCGTGCAGCGAACAACAGCACAGGAAAGCAAGGCATGGCCGAAGGTGAGGTTGCAGCGGCCTTGGGCATGAACTCCAGCGACGGGAGCCGGTGGGGACGCGGGGTGAAGAGGATGGCTGCGGCGCGAGGTCGTTGGAAACCGAGACGATGCAGGTCGGCGATGCAGCAGGAGAGGCGAAGGTGATCTTGCTGCCGAGGCGACCATGGCATCAGCAGGGGCCGACGGGAGACCGGGGCGCCGGAGATGCTGATGGGGAGGCGCAGCTGCGAAGCGGGGACTCGGGAGTAGAGGAGGAAGACGCGGCACTGGCGAACGAAGGCGGGCAGCAGAGACGAAGCCTGGTGCAGCGACCGACTCTGGATCGGGAGCTCCTCTCCCGATCTGGAGTGCGAGGGGGCGAGGGGCTTGGCCGGCGGCGCGGCTTGGGTGCAGCTCCGGCGAGGGCTTGAGGCCGCTGGGGAGAAGGCGCATGGGAGCTCGCTACCCTCTCTCTCTCTGGCGGCGTCAGGAGGAAGGGGGGATCGAGGGGAGCGGCCACGGGAGCGAGGGGGGTCGAGGCTGTGCGTGGGGATCGGGCACGGGGTAGCGGCGCTGGAGGAGAACAAGGGAGAGATGGAGACCGATGGGAGTCGGGCTAGGGTTAGGTGCTGGGGCCCGCTGGGCCGGATGGGCCTAGGGAGACTGGGCCGGCCTGGTGGGGAGGGGAATGGCCAGAGGCCTGGCTGGGCTTATCTCTCTCTTCTCTCTCTTATATTTTCTTTAACAGAAAAGCAAAAAGAGAGAGGAAAAGAAAAGGAGGGTTAGGGAAAGAAAATGCGCAAGGGGATAATTTTCCCGGACTCACAAAAATATGCTCGTTCCAAGAAAAATAGAAAGGCCATGATTGAAAGATTTAAATTCAAACTCATTTGAATTTAATTCAAATGGGTTTGAACGGAAGTGAGGGTTTGGGAAGGTCCAAAAATGTCCGGATTTTTGGTGGAGCTCCGGAAAATGATGAAATAAATATTGGCAAGGTTGGAGACCAAACTTGAAGCAGAAAAGGAACGAAATTATTTTGTAAGTGTGTTTTGGTGATTCCTAAAATGGAATATTTTATTATAGCTCCCTAATAATATTGAGAGGCTTTAATATGTTATAAAGAGAAATCACGAGTGAATTCCCTCAATTTAAATGGATCGAAAAATCCATACAATTTATTTAGTTGAGGTTTTAAAAATTAATGATATGATGGCATGATGACATGATGCAATGCACATGATGCAAGGATGAATGCAACAAATAAAACAAATCACACGACGAAACTCGAAAAACAAGGAAGGCATCTGAAGCACCGGGCTCGGGGCGTTACACGCCGCCTCCGTCGGCCTGGACATGCCAGGCAGGATTTTCATCCAGGTCAACAACTCCGCCTCCGAACAGGTTACGGACAGTCCTGGGGACAGAGCCGCATCACCGCCACCGATCGACAAGCACCAGCCGCCATGCCGCCACGCGACCATGGAGACTAGCCCGCACCTGAGCCGCGAGCTCCGCCCACGAGCACGCCGCTCCCACCACCAAGGCCGCCGCCCTGCATCCCGACATTCTAGAGACCGACAAAGGAACAGGCTTGGAAACGACCGACCAATCCCTAGCACGGACAGAGCCGCCGGTGACCAGCCTGCCACGAACACCACGAACCTGGAAGCACTAGGCAGGGCAAATGGGGAGGAGAGGAGCGGAGCATGTCCAGACCGGCGCCCCCTGCACCGGTGACGGGTAGAGAGCCCACCCGTCCCTCCTGCAACCTTCCCAGACGTCACCCCTGACGCCCCGCCATGGCCTCCAGCCAGCCCGACATGGCACAGCAGCGGCCACCCCGTCCACCGCGGCGAGGGTCGCCAGACCGCCCGAATCCTGCAGCCAAAGAAGGCCTCCAAAGCGCCCAGCCACCGATGACCCACACCGCCGCACCGCTGCAGGAGCAGGCCGCACGCCACCGCGGACCACGCCCCGAGCCACGACCTCGCGAGGTCATGGCCAGCCCCCCGCGCCGCCTGGCAAGAAGGAGCCGCCAGATCTGAAGACCGATTTGGAGCCCCGTCGCAGTCAGGTCCGTGCCGCCTCGGCCGCCACGACGAGCAACACCACCGGCAACACACGCAGCCCTCCACGCCGGAGCAACAGCCACCAGTGCTGTTGCGCCCCACAAAGCGCCGCGTCCCGGAACGAAGGGGCCGTCCCGCGCCGCCCACCACCGCTCGGAGAGGAGAGGAGGCCCCGCCGCCGCTGCTGTCGGCTGGGCTTTGCCCGCCGGCAAGCTCCGGCGGCGGCGAGGGGAGAGGAGGAGGAGTTGAAGGTAGGGGCGGCGGCTAGGGTTTCCCCCCGTCGCTCGAGGGAGCGACGCGGGGGAGGGAGAGGGTGTTTTTCCCCCTCGCCTCTGGGTTTTTGCTGTTGCCAGGGTGGCAACAGCGGCCCGGCACCGGTTCGAGAAATGGCGAGGTGGCTGCAGCGTGCCCGGCAGCCGCCGGTGGCTTTTCCCTGCCCTGTTTCAGCTGGCTGGGTCACATTCTCGCCCAAAGTGCTCGCCTTTCTGACAGCCGCGGCCTGTGGTCCATGTGGAAGGAGGTGGGGTGGTCTTGGATGCCAGGGCGGCGGCTCTGGTGGTGGAAGCCCTGTGCTCGCGGGCGGAGGCCGTGGCTCAGGTGCTGCCCGGTGGCCATGGCCGTGTGGGCGGCGTGGTGGCCGGGGGGATGACGATTGGTGGTGGTGGTGCGGCTTCCGTACCTTTGACAGGGGCAGTGAGCGTGGACCGGGGTGAAAACCTGCTCTGCCTTTGGGCAGTCCGGCGGTGGCAAGTTCGTCCCCTTCTTGAAGGCGCCGTCGCGGTCCTCATTGCCCGTCGTGTTGCTCCAGGGGACACCCTGACCCTCGGTTCGGGCGGTGGCGGCACTCATGTGTCGTAACCTTCATGAAGGCACCGCCTTGGAGCTCATGGTTCATCGTCTGTAGCTACATCTCTTCGTGGCGGCATGTTCACGGTTGAGGATCCCGGTAGCTCTTGTAGTGGCTGGGTGTGGTGTTGCTGCGTCTAGCGCCTATGTATCTAGCCTTTGGTGTGTGCGTGAGTTGTGATGGCGTGTGTTTGTATCAGATTGTAGTTGGTTGGTGTTTTATATATAAAGCAGGGCGAAAGCCTTTTTGGCAAATGTTATTATAGAGTGCCACTTGGTTGATTAACTTACAACAACGAAGCCTGATCTGCATGCTTATTGGCTGGACAATCTTGTCACCACATGCGCCCTATACTATATTCTCACCCCATTATTGTTATTATGGACATCGATCATCATCAGGGTCACCTCCGTCTATTTAAGAGCTACTGGATGGATGGGATCCTCTCCTTGTTGAGGAGCCGGCCAACCAGTACTCATCCCGTCCCGGCCCTGCGGTATCTTATTGACTCCAGGTAAGTTCAAGTGTTGCTGCTGCTCCTGCATGCTTCGCATTTTCTTCTGCTTTTAGCCTAGCAGGTAAATATTGATGTTTTACATACTGGCCTAGCTAGTTCTTCAAGAATTATTTCTTACTCTTTCTTTTTTCTCTGCATATGTTAGTACAAAATTAAGATTAGATAGGTCATGGAAATATTTTAACTCTTTTAATTTTAAATCCAACCGAGTGGCGATTGACTTAGGAGTTTTCCTCACTGGTTAACTGAAAGTGTCTACTTCACCATAATATTGTTAGTATTCAGGAGCTGAACACCAATTGCATATGTATGGACTATGGATATAACTCAGTAGTTTTAGAATTCTACCTAATTTCTAGCCGCAATCCTTGGTAGAAGTTAAATCTCAGATATTGCCTTACTGAAGGCTCTCTTTTTCCCGCAAAAATAGTTTGTCCTAAAGAAGATTAACAACACCCAATGGAGTACATGTTGGAGAAAATGTCCTCGTCCGATAAGGAAGCAAAGCCCATCCAACTGCATTTGCTAAAAACAATCACAGAGGATTTTTCAGAGAAGATGAAAGTTGGTAGTGGTGGCTATGGAGAAGTTTACAAGGTAGGCATGCATGGTTAATCATATCATGCTTAATTTGTTCTAGAACTAATCATATTATGCCTTTTCTTATTATCGGATGGTACCTCTAACAATCCACCAAGTTCACAAAGCTTTTTCCATATGAACAGGGAGTGCTTAATGGGGACGAAATTGCTGTCAAGAAGCTTTTTCCCGTCCCTGGACTTAACGATGAGGCATTTGAAAATGAATTTCGTCACCTTAAGAAGGTTCAGCATAAAAACATCATCCGTATGATTGGTTACTGCTATGAGATAGCACATAAAGATGTTGAGTACGAAGGAAAATTAGTTTTTTCTGCAGTAATAGAGCGAGCTCTCTGCTTCGAATATATGAAGGGAGGAAGCCTGGCCAAGCATATTTCTGGTATGATGGTGCTCTACCTCAATTCTGTTCTACCATATTACCATGTTATGTCTATGACATACACATTTCCCCTTATGCATGCAGACGAGTCGTGCATACTTGATTGGCCAACAACGTACAAAATAATTCATGGGACTTGTGAGGGCCTGCACTACCTTCATAAGGGACAAGTACAGAAGTTTTTTCATCTGGACTTAAAGCCGGATAATGTATTGCTGGATGAAAATTTTGTGCCCAAGATAGGAGATTTTGGTTTATCAAAGCTCTTTGGTACTTCATATACCCACCAAATAAGCTCTATGAAAGGAACGGTGTAAGTTGATATACTGCTCATGTGTTGATAGCTCAGTCCGGTTAAATCTTTTAGTGAGCTATGTTCTACATGTTGTCATGCAGCGGATTCATGCCACAAGAATACATACACAATCGCAAGGTGTCACCAAAGAATGATGTGTTCAGTCTTGGAGTTATAATTTTTCACATGATGGCGGGAGAAAAAGGATATGGTGATTATTGGGATGCGCGTCGTCGTCCAAATTTTTCAAAAAGAATCCAACAAGACTTTATTGACAGTGTAAGAAATTTTCGTTGTCTTTTTTTTCATTTTTAACAAATTGATGTGCCTTACCTATGTTTTTGATGCGAGTAAGATATAGATTCACAATGTATATTGCAACTTGACAGGTACAAGAATACTGGAAAACAAAGATGCAGGCAACCGAAAGTTATAGATGGGATGAAACAGACATCCTAGGGGTAACGAAATGTATTAACATGGCAATGCGTTGTGTGGAGGACGACCGCGACAACCGACCTTACATGACTGAAATTATCAGCGAGCTCAAGGAACTAGATTCTAAAGTTGAGGAGATGTTAAATAAAGATCCGAAACCAACAATACACCAGCTGGTATATATATAACCTTCATTTCATACTCAGGCCCGTACTCATGTATGTTGACTGGATAATATGTATGTATGTACGTATAGTTGCTGAACACTGTCTATTATTAGCTAGCTAATACCTTGAACTTTTGTCTTGGTAGAGAGACCGTGTCATTGATTTAAGAGCGGTGAAACAGAATAAAAGTCCCAACGATTTGGGAAAGGATATTGCAGTGGATCCGTCCCTTGAGCTCTGCTTCCCATTTGAGTCAAACAAAGACATACGGTGCTGCTTGCAGCTCATCAACAAGGCGGGGTCCAGCCACATTGCCTTTAATATAAACACCGACGTGAAAAAATATCTTGCACAACCACACAAAGGGATCATCGCACCATATTCCAAATGCTGCATCACCCTAACCTTGCGAGCACAGGAGGTAACATTGCCAAATATGCAGTGCTTTGACATGTTGGTTGTGCAAGGAGTAAGAGTGAGTGAGCACTTCACATCCGATGAGATCACTCAAGACTTCCTTGAAAACGGCAGTGCCATGGATGAGGTGATATTGCCGATTGCTTATGTCGGATTGGACCACTAATTTTCAGTACTTCTGTTTGTAGTAAGTGTTTACCTAAACTAGAAGAGGAGAACTTCACAAAATAATGAATTATTGTACATATGTGATAAGTTAAATTCCTTTCCCTGATATATTTTAGTTAAAATTTCAGGAATAAGGGAGTTTTCAGCCTTCCAACTGGAAAGAGACTTTAGGACAGGCAAAGCATCAGAAAATAATAAACATCAATCACCATTGTATCTCTATATATATGTTGGAAGACTACCATTTGTTAAGTGTTTGTTTTATTTATTTCTACATCAGGTGTGGGGAGTCCCCATCTACTTGTATTTCCCCTATTATTCCAGACAGATGGACCGTAAGCGATCATCTGCGTTTGCTGTCCACTTAGAATAAAATTAATAGTGGTTTTAATTGTGCTGTTACAAATATACATTCAGTGCACCTTTGACGAAAATTATCATGATGATCTAGGCACTGTTATGGTACATCAGTTTTGTTCTGCATGCTGGTCTTGGTTATGGCTGATAGTTGCAGAAATAATATAGGTTTGGTAGATGATTGTGGCTGGTTTAGAGAGGGGTTGAGGGAAACCAACAGAAGGCCACAAAATGAATAGATAAAGTTTGATTGTTGGATGCAGCGTGGAGATGCCATTGTCTACCCTTGTTTCTTTGTGAAGTGAGATTTAGGGTTTTGAAGATGATGCTCCGTTCTACTTCTGTAAGTAAAGATGGCGTGTGTTTGTTTGAATAAATTTGTCACATGTATTTGCCATGTAATGTTAAGATTGGATGATTGCAATGTTTGGAAGCGTATATACATTTTTCATGTTATGTCAGCAACTCAGCACATGATGTGTCATCTTAATTTAAACAAATTCAAAAGTGTGCCAGTACATAATGTGTTATAATAATATTTTTATAGGATTTAGTTTTAAATGTCAATACGATCTGATATTTCTCTCAAATTGGACACTATCGGTGCTGGTGATGAACATTTTAGTGTGGAGATTCCGAAAAAAAAAACATTTTAGTGTGGAGATGTCAAAGAGCATATTTGGCCCCAACGTTGATTTCGGTACTTGATGATGAACAATTAAGGGATTAATTTGTGTGCTAAGTATAATGACATGTTTTAGTCCCAAAAAATAAGTTAGTTCGCGAGCATCAATGGCCAACAAAATGGAAAATAAGACAATTGCTTTCTGGAGGATTTTTTAATTCCCTATTCGCTATTCGTCACCCTGGGTGAGGAATAGTTATTCTTCACCCCCTCTATATTTTGAGTCAATGCATCGTATTTTTACGTTTCATTAGTTTTGTCTTCTTTCATACATAAAAAGAGAACGTAAGAAAATATGTACTCGCCTAAAAAATATTTTATGTTACGTAGTGTGACTATTTATATGTGATCTTTCTGGTCTTATAACCTATATCTTTAATTTTTATACCAAATTTTACATATTGAATCCATATGCATGTAACTATTTATATTTTAAACATAATTTATTTAGGAAACGATCGTAAGATTGCCTCGGGTGAAGAATAACTTATTCTGTATCCTGGGTGATGAATAATAGCATTATATATATATATATATATATATATATATATATATATATATATATATATATAGAAGAAAATATGCCCTAGAGGCAATAATAAAGTTATAATTTATTTTCTTATATCATGATAAATGTTTATTATTCATGCTAGAATTGTATTAACCGGAAACATAATACATGTGTGAATACATAGACAAACATAATGTCACGAGTATGCCTCTACTTGACTAGCTCGTTAATCAAAGATGGTTATGTTTCCTAACCATAGACATGATTTGTCATTTGATTAACGGGATCACATCATTAGGAGAATGATGTGATTGACTTGACCCATTCTGTTAGCTTAGCACTTGATCGTTTAGTATGTTGCTATTGCTTTCTTCATGACTTACATGTTCCTACAACTATGAGATTATGCAAGTCATGTTTATCGGAGGAACACTTTGTGTGCTACCAAACGTCACAACGTAACTGGGTGATTATAAAGCAGCTCTACAAGTGTCTCCAAAGGTACATGTTGAGTTGGCGTATTTCGAGATTAGGTTTTGTCACTCCGATTGTCGGAGAGGTATCTCTGGGCCCTCTCGGTAATGCAAATCACTATAAGCCTTGCAAGCAATGTAGCTAATGAGTTAGTTATGGAATGATGCATTACATGACGAGTAAAGAGACTTGCCGGTAACGAGATTGAACTAGGTATTGAGATACCGACAATCAAACCTCGGGCAAGTAACATACCGATGACAAAGGGAACAACGTATGTTGTTATGCGGTTTGACCGATAAAGATCTTCGTAGAATATGTAGGAGACAATATGAGCATCCAGGTTTCGCTACTGGTTATTGACCGGAAACGTGTCTCGGTCATGTCTACATAGTTCTCGAACCCGTAGGGTCCGCACGCTTAAAGTTAGATGACAGTTATATTATGAGTTCATGTGTTTTGATGTACCGAAGATAGTTTGGAGTCCCGGATGTGATCACGGACATGACGAGGAGGCTCGAAATAGTCGAGACATGAAGATTGATATATTGGACGACTATATTCGGACACCGGAATGGTTCCGGGAGTTATCGGATATATACCAGAAAACCGGGGGGTTACCGGAACCCCCCGGGGGGTTAATGGGCCTCATGGGCCCAAAATGGAGAAGAGGAGGGGCGTCTAGGGCAGGCCATGCGCCCCCTCCCCCTCTAGTCCGAATAGGACAAGGAGGGGGGCGGCGCCCCCCTTTCCTTCCTCCCCTCTCTCCCTTCCTTCCCCCTCTCCTACTTGGACAAGGAAAGGAGGGAGTCCTACTCCCGGTGGGAGTAGGACTCCTCCTGGCGCGCC